CTAGACTGTGAAAGGGGATCGTTGAGACGGAAATGGGGATTATTCTTTACAAATCGTTCAAAGGCTAAGATCGATACTTTGTGCTTAACATTTGGAAACTTCTAAATCAGAAGGAGGTTTAAGAAATGTTTGTTGTTTTAACAGTAACTTTTTTTTACCAACTTCTTACTGGTGTCATAGTATATGTATCAAAATAAAAATATGTAAATATATAATTTTTATAAATCTTAAACAATGGTGTTAAAATTTAACTTAGATTGCTATCATGGGATAAACACTTAAAAAATATATAAGAAAATTAATTCAAAAAATTGACAAAGTACTTTGTGTTAAACATAAAAATCAAACAAATCCATCAAAGATACGCCTATGTTTTGGTGTGACAAAATCGGATACTTAAGTTAATTTGCAAGGACATTCAATATATTTCTCTTTTGACAGAAGCTGAAATGTTGATATCAGGGATTTTAAATGTCAGCACTCAGTAAAACCTAAATTACAGAGACATTCCCCTGAATGGCAATGGATAGTTCTTATCAATGAGTTTGGCATCTATGTAACAATGGTATCGTATCTCTACTTGTCATCTTTTTTTTTAATATATTTAATCTTGAGCGCTAAAACCAAGAAAAGTAATTTGTGCTCAATAACATATCAAATGGTCTTAAGTTCATATTTTAATAAACACATTATGCAAATGGTATGCTCAGTTCACACGATAAAATTTGCGTAAAATATGCGTCAAATTTTCTTCACATTATTTTTAACGCACTATTTAGTAAAAAGAATTTTGCGGTCCAAAAAAAAATGTATCGTATAAACTCAGCGTAACAGACAGACAGACAGACAGACTTACAATTTTATACAAGAAATCACGTACAAGAAGCAATAATTTCAGACAAAACGATTATATATTTTTATTTCTATTTTTTTTTACTTCAATCAAATGAATCGATTTATCTATTCCATCTGATTCGATCTTTAGCAACGTTGGCGTGAGATCAAACTCTCCATTATCCAACCGTCACGCTGCATTGGCTCCGCCGTTCTGAAGCAATGCCAGTTGGCAATCATTACTGCTTTCTGTACAGAAATGTCCCCAGTTAGTTATGTTTCTTTTTTGTCAACTACTGTATGTTATTCGATTTTCTAATGACTGGTGATGCAAGGCAGACAAATATTGTAAGATTTTTTTTGTTTCGTGTGGGCCCTGATCGTCTCCGATCGAGCATGACTTGCGTCAAGACGCGTTCGTAACCAAGATTTCGTGGAGATAAAACTAAGAGGGGTCTTGAATGAGACAATATAATTGCAAATAATGGCGTTTGTTAAGTAGTGCATTATTATTTTTTCTACCAGTCCCCGGGAACTTAATATTTTTATGAATCATGACCGGTCAGATTTAAAGATATGAACACTTTAGTCGTATTCTTCTTATTCTGTATATCAAGGGCCCACGATCAATTTATTGATCATTTTGCATGTAGAGGGGATTTGCAATTTTTCTGTGCCTGGTGTTGATGAGGATATTTCACTGATTGCGAGGGCTACTTTGTAAGAGAATCATGCACTGGGATTTGGAAGGCTTGGAGCAATAGACGCAAATGTGTCCAGTGTTGTCGCCTCAACTGTTCCTTTTGAAAGCTTGTTCTGGTCACCGATTTTCATGGGCAGGAATGAGCAATTCCTATACTGGCTTCTTGCTGGTATGAGCCGCAATTGCCTGCCATGGCCTCCTCACTGTCTATGGGGGAGAGGGACGAGTTTCTATTTAATACTGGAACAGTGGACCAGACCATTATGTATTTTGTACATCATGGAGAGCCTGGATTGTCGTCGTCGTTTCTCCAATGGTGACCCGTCTAGGTTTTCCAGCATGCTGCCAACACTACATGTATTCCTGTAGCGGTTCAGGACAAATTGTGCTACACGTCACTGGACCGCCTCCAACATGTCAATGCTCTTCTGGGTAAATGGGTCCCAGCCTGAAGATGCATAATCTAAAACCGGATGGACAAAGGCTTTATAAGCTCTTTCTTTAACACTGAAGTTGCCAATCTGTAGATTGCGCCTTAAGATCCCCAGGGTCTTGTTTGTTTGGTTACATACATTGTTAATATGCTCGTCCAAGCAGACCTCTCTTTCAATGGTAACACCCAGGTACCTTAAGGAGGAAACGCGCTCAAGTTAATGGCCAAGCAGTTCGTATTGCTCGTCATTGCACCTCAACCTTCACATTCAATTATCTACACATAAAGCTCATAAATGTACACATAAGTTAGCGTAACTTTTTTTTTCTAAAATTACGTTTCCAATTCCCGACCCACCTACACCCCCCACCCCCCGTTTCGTCTAACATTTCTCATTCTTCTTCACGCCTACAACCCCAATCCCCAAACCCAAACGTCATGACCCCTATGAGTCTATTTTCGTCGACCCTATTCCTCTACTCATATTTACTTCCTTCTAGTTAAGGGGTTTTCAATATAATTTTCTGTCATGGCCGGTTGAGCCAAAATATTGTAGCCTTCTGCATCAATCCCTTCTGGTGGGGTTTCGTAAATATCTATTTACAGCAAGTACACATTAGATGAGTGGTAAACATAATTCTATGTAAAGCGTTTTTAAACCATGACAAAAGAAATATTACTTCGACCAGTTGCTCTCAATCTTCTTTATGCCGCGACCCTTTAGACGTTCCTCCTGCCTGTCGTGACCGCCCCCCCCCCCCCCCACACTAACCACAAAATTATTTTCGTTGCTGCTTCATAATTGTAGAGTATATCATGTGTTTCCCGATGGTCTCAGGCAATCGGTGTCAAAGGGTCGTTCGACCCCACCCCCATAAAGGTGTCGCGATCCACAGGTTGAGAACCGCTGACTTATACCGTCTTGGTGAACTCTTGAGACGTAAAACTGACCTACACGCACGACTGGTTGCTACCATCATATTGTTCAACAAGTCCAAGCACATAACCGTGTGCTTTATATTTTAAAACTTTTCAATCGGACAAAAAATGTATAAAGAAAAGATGCGTTTCGAATTTATTCCCGAATTTAATTTTAAGTTCTGCGAAAATGCAAAGATGAGTAATCAGGTAAGTAATACATAAAATCGTATATAAAGATTTATTCATATTCTCATGCTTATAATATGCATTTAAAGATCTATCTAGATGCCAAATATAATTCAGTTAATATTTTTTTAAGTTGATCTAGAATAAAAGAGTAGATGTTTGTAACTGATGCTCTTCATAGTTTTCTATTGGTGGTTTATTTGAAGCAGCAAAATTAGATTATGTCTTAGCATATGAAAGTGAACTGTTGAAGACTTGATTCATCCAGTTGTGCATCTGTGACGATCTGAGGCTGAACTTTGTAGAAATTCTTCCCCCGCAACTACGCCCTTGAAAACCCTTGTAATATAATACCTTTCCCTCCCCTCAAGTCGCCCCACAGTTGCATAGCCCGAGTGATTTCCCTTTGTGCTGTCGCATTCCTAGGTAGGAGGTAGGAAAAAGGATGACAATATATTTAAATCCTATGGTATTACATTTGTGGAAAAAGAGATGTTTAATTCTCTTTTTACAAAAAAAATATGTTTACCAATTAAGGAAATCAATGACGTTAAGAAATCTTGGGTACATTTACATAAGCATAACCTTAAATATCAAAACCCAATCATTTTACACACTTGAAAAAGTAATTTTGAAAAATAGAGATGGGTTAATATTTACTTTCAAAAAATGAAAATATAATTTTGTTTTTACTTTGCAAAAAGTAACGAGGTGTGTATTTTTATGAGATTAACAATTTAAATTTTTTAAAAAAGATACTCAAGTCTGATCTAGGGGTGAAAAACAGTTGCGAGATTCTTCTTTAGTTAAAATAATTCTTTGTTTTAAGAGTCTCTGACAATATATAATTTTTTTTTAAAGGCATAAATATGTTTAAATTTTTTATGAAGATATCAATATATATCGAATTCCTGTCATATGAAATACACTTATATCATATATATATTGATTTTGTTGTAAATTTAAGATTAGTTTTTTTTAACAATTTTTAGAGAAAAAAAGGTGTAATTCAAGGACACGAAAAGGGGTAAATCTAAAGTATTTCTCTAGCGTAGTAATTGTCCCTCAATTAATTTCTTTAGTGACAAAAGTGATATAAGTAGTGATAAGTTAGACTGGGTATTTTAAGATCATATTCAGAGGGGAAAAACTAGTTTAGGAGCGGGAAAGGGAGTAGGGTAGGCCTGTTAAATATAGCAGATAAATACTTCTCAAAACTTAATGATGTAAGAAAAGTAAATATCATTATATTTTTAAAGTTATAGATTGTGATGAGTTTTTGCACTAGCAGTCAGAAATTATCGCAGTGGAACTACTACCGTTATTATCCCGATAACACCGGGTTGTTTATTCTAGTGTATTTATATTATAATTTATTTGTGTGTGGGGGGGGGCTGATATACAAATGTTGACATCATTACTTAGGGGGGGGGGGTGACTGAAAGCTCAACAGTTGGTAACAGGGAGGAGGGGGGGTTGAAAAATTGCTTAAAAATTGTTGACGTAATAAACGTTTGTGTGTGGGGGGGGGCTGATATACAAATGTTGACATCATTACTTAGGGGGGGGGGGTCACTGAAAGCTCAACAGTTGTTAACAGGGGGGGGGGTGGGTTCAAAAATTGCTTAAAAATTGTTGACGTAATAAACGGACGGCAACTTGTTAGGAGTCCTATTTTGGGCACACCGCAGTGCTGGGTTTTTTATCTGTGCGGTCATTTGTTCACTGACGGGGCAGCACTTCACCTGGCTACACCACAGTTTACATGGCCGGGAACTTTTTTGCGATGTAGTCAATAAACACGACTGAATACCTTTTGTTAAGCCCATATAAATAGACGGACAACTTCTTACAGACTGATTAGAGACGGTCATGGAGTGGCTGAGTCATAGAGTAGCAGCGTCGTAGTGTAGCAGGGTTATAGAGTAACAGAGTCAAAGTGAATCAGAGTCATAGAGTCGCAGAATCAAAGCGTAGCAGAGTCGTAGAGTCGCAGGGTCAACGTGTAGCAGACTCATAGATTAGCAGAGTCAACAAGTAGCAGACTCATAGAGTAGCAGAGTCAACGTGTAGCAGACTCATAGAGTAGCAGGGTCAACGTGAAGCAAGAAGCAAGGCTTAAAGATCAAAGTTTAAAATCAGGTCAGTAGTCGGTATATTTAAGTTTATCAATATATTCTTAACACATTTTCTTGGTTGAATTCCATTTAAAGTTGATTGATTCTATGTTTATTTGAAGAGTCGAACAATCGCTTGATAGCTTCGACAACATTTTACAAAGTTGAGATCTAAACAACAAAAAATTTAGCATCAAGTTCTCTTTAACGTAGATATAGTAGTTAAACCATGTAATTTTTTTTTCTTTTGTAAGAATTATTTTTTTATTTTCTTTAATGTAAATGTCATGTGACATTGTCATAGTTTTTTTACACAGACAGTCGCAATGGAAAGGTCACATGTGCATATCCTTTTATTTCTTACATTAATAAATCCATCGGTGAGAAGTGCCAGTGGTAAGTCCTTATACATTTATAAATGTCAGTGGTATGTTAAACAACTGTAGGAGATTTGTTTTTAAAAAAATTGTCCAAAGACGTAAACTACAAAAATTGCACAAAGAAAACAATAGCACAACTCTTGTTTGTTTATGTATACATGCTTGTTTTATTTTCCAATTTTTTACATTATTTTTGTTTAACTAGATAGAGCCCGACAAATGTTGGCGGCGTAAACTTCCAATCTAGTGAAGTTACTTGATAAAACATGAGCCCAAGTAACGCACATTTCAGAATCCCAATGTTTGCAACACCCCTTCCCTCATGATACGTCACTGCACACTTTTTATTTCACGCCTATGAACTATAGTAATATTTTCACGTCCCAACCACTTTTAAACCGAAAATTTTTCACACAATACTTAAATTGAGACGATTTCATTTCCGAAAAGAAAATATTAGCACGAAACGCTATTGCGTTATTAAATATATATATATATATATATATATATATATATCATTTAGCGTTGTTATCGGGAATTATATTTTGCTCGCTAGTGATCTCATTATTTAACCATACTCTAGCGTATCTATATATAGCCTGCGTGGTCGTGTTTGACCTTTGCTGGTGAATTATATACATAGAAGTTTAAAAAGGTTTTTGTCAATACATGAAACGTAAGATTATTATTTTTTTTTTAATTACCACAATTGTTTGTAAATAGTTGCTGTGTTTTATCATCCTTATATTGAATACAATGAAAAAGGACAAAGTTGTAAAAAATGTAAAATTTGCAAACAAAAATATCTCTTTAGAATTACAAAAGTTTGTTACGTTTAGTGCACTATATTATGAATTAAACATAAAATTAACTTAACAATTAAATATCTCCCCCCCCCCCACCCAAAAAAATATATTTTTCTTTTAAAATTTGGATTTCCCCCCCCCCACCCAAAAAAATATATTTTTCTTTTAAAATTTGGATTTAAAAAAGCTGGCATTTTGAATTCACGATGAATGATCAACATAAATATATACATATGGATTGAGAAAGGTAGAAAAAATATAGTCTTACTCATTACAAATGTTATGAAAATATCACTTAATACACAGCAACAACTTTAAAGGGTTCATAAAAATTTCACTAAATTATTCTATGCATTTTTGTAGCATGCCTGTGGAAAAACTCCTTTGAGTTCGAAGGGAAGTGTTTCGAGGACAATAAAACGGCGCTCACCTACACAGAAGCCAGGGTAACTATGCTGGTCTTTTTTGCTTATTGTATGCTGTCGTAACCTTTCTGTCTTGTGGTCAAGTGTCTCGACTGCGGGACGTGACATTGTGTTTCCTTAAGCGTCATACATATCAAGCTTCTTAGAGGCTTCTGCGACGCAAACCGGTGAAGAAACTGAAAGGTGTTATCGAGATCCAGGCGTGCTAGGGGTTTAAAAGATTGACATTTTTTTATTTTTTTAAATATTCCAATTGATGATTAGAAAGCTGCTAATGCATAGCTAATAGACTGTATACTTCTTACTCAAGAGATTTGCTAATAAATAGCTACTAGAATGCAGATATATTTCTTAAAAGGGATGAGTTTATGTGTAATTTTATGAGTGTGTTTTTGTCTCAATTTGTTGCCATTCCGTTTAATTTCTTTAAAAATCACGCTATTTACTAAATGAAAGTAGAAAAGGATTTTTTTTAATCTACATTAAAAACACATGATTATTTGATTAAATACCGAATTATAATCTCAAGACAAACTCTATCCACACCAGGATGGATGTCTATCAATCGGTGGAGTTCTGGCAACGGTGAAGAGCAAGGCGCAGATAGAACATGCAGTTTCATATATGCCACCCAGTAAGTCACTCAGTATAAGGAGTCGCATTAGTCTTCTGATCGCTTTTACCCACAAGGCGTCACCAGCGTAGCAAGAGTGTTTGGCACCCGGGGGGGGGGGCGGCAAGATTTGCGACAATGGACAAGATTCATTGTAAAGCGCCCGCTTTTCTTTTTTTCAACTCTAAAACCCATTCTTTTCATCAAAACAAATTTTAGCGCCCCTAACTAGCTGGCGCATAGGGACATATGTCCCCCCTGCCCTACCCCTTCGCTACGCCTCTGAGCCTCACAATGAAATACAGTTCCTAATCTCCCGCAAGGTGTGAGTCCCACTGACGTTTTAACTTGCTGTCATTTAAGGTGTATTGAACACAGTCGATGCACCTACCTAAATTGTCATACCCTGGCTATGAATCCCTTTCAAAACAGTGACACAGAACAAAGACACACTATATTCTAGAATCTAGATGAACATGGGTTTTTTTCAGCCCAGCTGACCTAAAATCTTCATTGTAAACTCTCAGTAAATAGGTCGATCCAAAAACTAAAATATAATTGAGACATGAGAATTTTTTTTTTTTGTATACACAATATAAATAAAATGAGAAATGTATCAAAAGAAGTTGAAAAAATTATTTAGTTCTTGTCAAGTTTCACTAACTAAAAGAATATATATATATATATTCTCTCATATTAGAAAAGATTACTGTGATATAGATAATATCAATTATAAATTAAATCCATTTAAACATTACTTAACTATTAAACAACTAACAATGCATAAAATGTTTCTTTTGTTCCAACATCTAAAACACATTAGCAAGGTGAAAAACTCATTGATCTATATCAGAAAAAAGTTACAATAACATAAGATCATGTCACATATTGTTTCATAGAGTAATAATAGAAAGGAATACACAATGGGTATACTTCCTTTCTTGACATGAAGTAAGTTCTTATAGACAATAATTTCAGAAAACTTACAGTTCTCACAGATAAAATAAAGAAACCAATGGGTCTTGTTAAGCATCACAAGATGTTTTTAACCTTAAAAAGTAATATCCAAAAATGAAGTCTCATACAGTTATATATTCAATATAAATATAATAAAACAGTTCTATTGTGACTGTTGGTTCATTAAATTTAATGTCACACTTATGTAGGCAATATTATGTGCTATTCCACGTAAATAGTCCTCAGCCTAAATATTGGGTTCAAAAGAATTGACATTGCAAGTAAGTCTTTCTGCTGAATCTTTATATTGTTTTCTTCCTGGAGGAGGCTCTTGACCACTGGTGTATTGTTCAATACGAAGTTCGTTCAAACTTTGTTCACGTTTGATAGCTTTTATAAATTTCCAAATGTTGGGGTGGTCAGGGCAAATTTGGTTCTGAAATCCTCTGTGCCAACCTTCAAAAGCATTGTTGGTTTTTGGCAAACCTTGTTGATTAGCATGAAAGCTATTCCACATATAAAGGGGAAATTGGGGTGGTCGACGATGACTATGATTAGGTCGACAGATCCATGTGTCCTCAAAATAGTCAACAACTACTTGAGCTTCAGGGGGTAAAATATTTCTGTTGCAAAGTAACTCAAAATACTCTACCACATGTTGTGTAGGAACAAATGCTAAGGCAGATAACATTCGTATCCTTAAAGCAAATTCAGGGGTCACAGTTGTAATTTATCTTAAAGCCTTTTGTTTGCAAATTTCTATAGATACACTGGCAGAAGTGAAAAAAAAATCTTCCACGAAAAATTGTTTGAGGAAACTCAACATTTATGGCATTTACCATTGCAAGCTCAAAGTCTATGAGAAAAGTATGATGATTACAAGTAGACTCCATGTCTTTGATAGCTCTTAAAATGTGTATATTACTTTGTACACTCTTGTTTGGAAGAAGTGCATAACCTAATGGAACAGCAGTATGTTCACGTAAGCCATGTATTGTATACAATTGTTCAAATAAAGGTGGTACCGTTTTAAAATTTCCATATGAAGACCAGTTTTTTGAGCTTGAAATTAAACGTAGATTATTCCTGGTTGAAAATTTTAAAATTCTTTCATCTACCGGCCCAGAAACAAACAGTAAAAAGTCTTCACCATTCTCTCTAGAAATATATTCACTAATGAATCTAATGTCCCTCCTGTGAGTAGGAATAGCTGGACCCCAAGTGTCTTTTATTCTATGATTTCTTATGTTTCCTTTCATAGCTTCAACTGAAAGGAGTTGACCTTTCGTGGCTGGGGTTAAATTCAATGAAGTATTAGATGAAATATAATGCGGAGAGTCGCATGTGGTTATAGCGTCTCTTTAATCTGGTTCATAACTGCATTAACTTCAATCTGGGAGCTATCAGCTGCATGGCTGTGCTCGTTGCTTTGTTTGGTAATAATAGTGTTTTTTAATAGTTACCACTCGACATGGGCACGAAAGTTTTTTGAAGTTGCCACACTTCCAATAGATTTTATCGTTACGCTGCTTTTCTTTCAGGTAGATGTAGCCGTCAACGACAAGTTTTATTTCTTTTTTTAATTTTTGCTTCTAACAAAGTTATCCTCTGACAAGGATGTCATTTTGACTACTTGTCATTTAAGGACTACACATCGGTTTGATGCCACTAATTACCGAACAAAACATAGCTTTTTTGTTAGAAATCAGCGTTGTCCCGCATGGTAAAGATTGAGATAGAAAAACTGTTCGAAAGAATACATTTATTTTTTTTGAAGAACATTTTAGTGGTGGTATTTTGAACGTTAACTTGATACGTTAATTTCTCAATGATTAAATAGCTACTGTTTCGTATTTTTCAGTTTGAACAAAATTCCTTCCGTACACAAATCTTTTCGAACACTGGAACAGATCTCCATAATTCGCACTTGCAAGTCATAAATATAAAATTTATTTACAAGAAAAATGAAAAGAAGAATCGAACAAAATTTCGCTCGAACAAACTAACATTCGAACAAATTACACTTCCCACATTTCTCCCTAGCATCTCTTAGATTTAAAAAACAATCGACCAAATTTCCGTTAGATCAAACTTCCGTTCGATGAAATTTCCATTAAAGTTCCTTTCGATTAAAGTTCCGTTCGATCAAATTTCCTATCGATGAAACTTCCTACAGATGAAACTCCCGTTCGATCTAATTTCCGTCCGAACAAACTTTCGCTCGATCAAATTTCCGTTCGACCAAACTTCCGTCGATCAATTTTCCGTTGAAGAAATTTCTTTCGACGAAATGTCCGGATACGGATACAGGCAACACGAGAACCGCCTCAGAATAAAGAAGTGAATTAGATCAATTATAACCCTCCTTGGTACATAAAATATACACAAAGGGTGTGTACATTTTTAAATGGATGACAATAGCTTTGAATCCAACTATATCACAGTTGTGAAAATGAGATGTTATATTCTCTTTTTGCAAATACACTATACAAATAATATGTGTCACAATCACAATGTTTTGTAAATAATGTATGTATTATACTATACAAGTTCACAACAAGAAATACATCTGATGCCGAGCATACTTGGCACTAACTAGTTTCTGGATAATCTTCCTTACTTCTTAAACTTAATAATGTATCAACACACTATGGACGGTTCAATCTTCTTCAAGCGAACTACATGTCATGTTATCCATCCTTTATTTCTTGTTTTCTATCTTCGCTCTCCCTGATTGGCCAGTTTTTCTCAAGAGAAAGAAAAAAAAAATGATTAGTTTAGGGTCACGAAAGGTGGTAGGGCAGGCCCAACAGGTAACAATTCAAAACTCAGGAAATCCAAAGTTTTTCTCTAATCAGTCGTCATTGAACTCCTTAAGTAACATTAAAGATTTAATTAGGGATTATTTATATTTGGTAATTTTAGTTCATGTTTAGAGGGACAATTTGTAGCTTAGGGGCGCGAAAAGGGGTAGGGTAGGCGTATCATATATATATATATAAAAATATATATATATATATATATATATATATATATATATATAAATATATAATATATAATATATAATATATATTGTTTTTGCTATATATATATATTGTGTTTGATATATATATAATATATATATATATATATTATAAATATATTGTGTTTGCTGCTAGGCAGCTTCAAGAGATATGCCAGGAATAAAATACATAACCTATATTCTACATTTATCGACTTGAATAAGGCTTTTGACAGGGTCAATAGAGTTGGCCTGTAGAAAATCATGAAGAAGTACGGATGCCCAGACAAGTTCACCAGCATCATCCGTCAGCTGCATGATGTCATGATGGCCCGATTGCAGGACAACGGTCAATCATCTCAAGCATTCCCCGTCACAAAGGAAACTCCTCGGCATCAGCTGACATGACAAAATCCCCCACACCGAGGTCCTTGCTAGAGTGAACCTACCTAGTATCTTCACCACCCTGATGCAGTCTCAGCTCCGTTGGATGGGACACGTAGCCCGCATGGAAATCCAACGGCTCCCAAAACAGATATTCTTCAGAGAACTAATAATAGGCAAGCGCTCCGAAGGAGGTCAAAAAAGGCGTAACAAAGACTCACTGAAAGGGCATTAAAGGCCTTCAGCATAAACCCTACTCATTGGGTGCAGACAGCCCAGGACAGAGCCAGATGGAGAGCGGCTGTCAAGAAGAGGGCTAAATCCCATGAAGCTAATTCAATTAGTACTTGGATAACCACAGCTGAGACACGCAGGTTTGTCAGAAAGAGCAACATTAGGTCACCATTTGAAGCAACTATCCTCTGCCCGCGAAGCCAGAGATTATTCCGAGCATGGATCGGTCTAGCAAGCCACCTAAGAGCTCACCGTAACCCACCCTCCCACCTAACCGGATGACTCGCTGGTTCAAGTCGACTTCGACGGACGAACAACAAGATATATATTATATATATATATATATATATATATATATATATGCTTCTTAAACTCGAAATGATGTTACAAACGTAAACTTCATTACATACATACTACTTTTTAAAATGAGGAAATGTAATGAGTTTTCGTAATAGCAGGTAGGAATTATCGCTTAGTACCTGCCATTATGATCTCGGTAACATCGGGTGAATTGTCTAGTCTTCTTTATTTTGAGGGCCCACGATCAATGAATTGATCATTCTTGCTCCTAGTTTTAAATATTTAGCAACAACGTATATTTCTTGTTCATGTATCTCTATATATAATTTGGTCATGTATCTCTATATATTAGTTGGTCATGTATCTATTTATAGTTGTTGGTCATGTATCTCTATTTATAAGTTGGTCATGTAACACTATGTATTAGTTGGTCATGTATCTCTATATAATTGTTGGTCATGTATCTCTACAAATTAGTTGGTCTATGTGTCTATAAATTATTTTGTCTTGTCTCTTGACATGTTAGTTAGTCATGTCTTCCTCTGCTAACTCTGGTCGACCGGGGACACAATTTTTTTTGCCTATTGCACAGAAATAGGTTTAGTTCAAATACAAAGTGTATTTCCGACCTTTCGAATTCATCTCCCCCCTCCCCAACCTAAAACCTCTCTTGGTTCTACGTCTTGCACCATCGGATGTGTTTTGATTTTTGCAACTATTTTAAGATTAAAATAATTATTAAGATCTTAAACTCCAATAACAACTTTGATGATCTCTTGACTATATTGACACTGCAGATGCAGAGTTCTGGATCGGTGCAAACGATAATGCTGTAGAGGGAAACTGGGTGTGGGAAGATGATGGTGCTCCTGCGACAGAGTTGTCCGGTATATGGGATTCTAACGATGATGAACCAACCAACAAAGCGGGGGAAAACTGTGGGCTAATCTCTTTATATCCAACAGCAAAATCGGCCTTTGACCGTATGTGTGACGCTACATATGGTTTTCTTTGCATGGAGAAAGGTAATTTTACTTCCGTTTGATGATTAAATGGTCAATGTAATGTCAGACATGAAACAAATACGGCTTGATGTTTAAATTAAACTAAACACATTTTTTTACTATTATCAGTAAAGAATATTTTATTTTTCGAGTGTATCCAACTGACAAACCAAGTCAATGACAATCTTTGTTATTATTTGACAATTCATAAAATTGCATAGCACTTTTTTTTTTTTTTTTTAAAAAAGCATGAACATATTATCCTATGGGAAGAAAACTATTCTATATTACAAAATATTAACTTGTTGCTAGAATAAATTAATAAGCTTGGATAGTGAAAAATGCAAATGATAGACAAATTTTAAAAAAAAAACAGCAAGGAGAATAACGTAAAGTATTTTAAATTACATAAAGGTTCTACAGTCAAACTAGAATGTCCGTTTTGTTAAACAATTTATGTCTCTTTTCTTCTCTTTCAAAAACACATTTTTGATATTTAAATACAATTTCGTCGTACGAATTTAAAGGAGATTATATAATTTTGAAGACGTCTAGCGGTTGCGTGATAACGATACTTGTTACTTGTAGTTATTGCTTGTAGTATTTATCCACATTCACAAAAGATTCATGATTACTTAAAAGCACAAGGTCATCTTCATTAGTTTCGCATCACGTACATTTTTTAAATATAAATTGCACTTCGTACTGTATAAAACATGTCTCCTAAATTGAAGGAAACATAATGGATATTGTCTTATTATTCACATATAAATTTCACACAGATCTATAGAGTTAGTAGCAAGATGCTGTGAGATGTGTGGCGAGCGCGTATCGTCTATTCGATCTCTCTCTCTCTCTCTCTTTCTCTCTCTCTCTCTCTCTCTCTCTCCTCTCTCTCTCTCTCTCTCTCTCTCTCTCTCTCTCTCTCTTTGATGCTGTGAGATGTGTGGCGCGCGCGTATCGTCTATTCGATCTCTCTCTCTCTCTCTCTCTCTCTCTCTCTCTCTCTCTCTCTCTCCTCTCTCTCTCTCTCTCTCTCTCTCTCTCTCTCTCTCTCTTACGTCCAATACACTTTCCTTATTAACCTATGCGCATGACCTATATTCTCTAATTAACTTCCTGTTTATACTAACTTACAAACAAAATACAATATCCGAAACAAAATTATTATCTCAATTAGTTGATATGTGACAAGAAGGAAAAGAAGTTAAGTACATTTTAACCAGATCCCAATCGAAAAAACTTAACTCTTATTTTCATATATTCATAACACCAGATCCGGTGACTTCTACAATCACAACAAACGACCCTGCTACCACCAACACTGCAGCTTCTACAACTGAAACTAGTGCTGCAACCAACACTGCAGGTTCTACAACTGAAACTAGTGCTGTAACCAACACTGCAGGTTCTACAACCGACACCAGTGCTACAGCTCTGACGACGTCTATACAGCCGACGACTTCCTCAAAGCCTCTGACAGCAACCTTGGTAACGATTGCCACCAATTCTACCACCAACGCTGTCTTAGCTTCCACTTCAAGTGCAAAAGTCCCGACAACTACTTTGAAGAAAAATGGCGCTAACTTCATCGACGTCAATGTTCTATTGTTATTAAATCTGTTCGCGATTAATTATCTCATCATTTGAAATAAACGGGACTGTATTTTTTTTTTTATTATTACGCTTCACAGTAGCTCCCATTAGACATCATTTTTTTTTTAAGTGCGTGATTTCAATTTTCTAGTTATTTAATTCTAATTTAATTATTTTTTTCCCTCCCTCGTATATCTTTCTGCGGAGGAACATACTTGTTTATACTCTGACCAAATTTTCGAAACGTTAAACTGAATAAGAAAATGCTTTATACAATAAAACAATAATGTCGATTACATGTATACAAGTAGTGAATTCATCAATCTTCAAGTAATTCACCTGAAATGATTGTGAACCGCAGCCGAAAGAAGTACAAAGCCACATTGTTTAACTCTCGAAAGACTGTAGATTTTTCCAGTTTTTAATGACCTTGAATATATCTTATTCTTCACTGCGTCACATGGCTGTAATTTTGTAGCTACCTACAAGTATTATATATCATTTTAAAGATAATTGGATGCTCTTTAATTAAAACTTGGGGTTTGTTCAAAATATCCTTGCTAATTTTGATGTTTTATTATTTTATTTTTGGGCAAAAAAAATATTTTTTTAAGTCGACAAAAACATAACATCACAGTTTTACAAAGAAGGGAAGAAAAAAAGTGTTTCCAATTAAATCAATAAATCGATATTTTATTAGAATGTGTTCAATACTACAAAACATATTTAAATTTCGAAAGAATAGACTAATAAATAAAAAAGTTATGACTTTGTGTAGGCAACAGATCATTCAAGGAAATGTTGCTCAAAAGTCAAAATTATTTTCAAAAAATAATAATAATTTTTTTTGAAAGGAAAACATATACTGCATCATATTATCCCTAGAGGATTATTAGTAAGTATTATTATAGATGAAAAGATTTTTAAAAAAGTAAATTTTAATAAATAAAAAAATTTTATGCATCCCCGAGATATCAATCAAATGAAGTACCTTAGATACCGATCAAAGGATATAATCCTTCGCCAAGACCATGCATAATAATTCTTGAAAACAATTTCTTTATTTAATAAAACATATACATGCATCAAAAAGAAAGCCTGTGACATACTCTCTGATCATTTTACCCTGTTTTAGTAACACACAATTACATTTTTTGTTATTGTCATGTCACGCGCACGATGTAAAGATTTCGAGTTTTACAGTATCTGGTTCATCATCAAAGATGTCATTTGTTCCCTAAATTGTTCATGAATTGCTACACTTTCTTGATGCTGATACAGTTCATTGTATTTTGCATGGAGATACATAAGGGTCTCCCAATTTTGCACAGCATTTTCCTTTATTTTCACATATTTTCACATACAGTCCTCTACTACTTCTACGGACGGAGCTCTCCCTGATTGCCCGCTACCCTGTTCCGCTGAGCTCTCCCCCGTCCTGTCCTACGGTCCCTATTTATAATTCGTGAGCCCATGGATGTTCCCTCTCATGTCTGTAATCTGACTCCCAAATCTTCCAGTACTTAAATGTGTGAACAATTGTAATGGTCCTAAACCCCCGTAGCACAATAGCGCAACGGTCCTTCCAGGGAAGTCTGATAAGCTAGCCCCTGGTCAGATGCTGGTTACCCTCGTAATAAAAATATAATTATTACGATTATGTTGTTTGAGTCTTTTTATTAATGTGTTCTATTGTAATGAAACTTTTATATAAACTAAAAGATAAATCATCTACATTTAAACACGACTTTTAATTTTGATTCTATATACTATATCTTATAAGATAATTAATTTTACAGCCTATATAATAGCACTAGCCTAAGTCTAAGACTAAAAGTAAAGACACACATTTAGGCTAAGTATTAGACTTAACAATTATTTAAAATGTATATTTTAATCCCTTACTAAATTGTTAAAAAAAGACACTAACTTAAATTAGGATGTAACGGTGGTTGTAGAATTAGCAATAGAATAAGTGAAAATTATCTGCTTAATAATCAAACTTAGGCTTAAATAGACTATAGGATTATAATTACTGTTGTTTCTAACTTTAACTGATATTGATATGTAAGCCTAATTTTATTAACAGTCTCCCAAATAAGATGTCATTAATAAGAGAATAAAAACTATTATTATTGGTATTACTATCTTAAAACTATTAATTATTGATTCAATGATGAAGAACTGAAGAATAAACTGAGTACGGGTGCACACAATTTTTAACGTAATAAATAAAAGTTAAAATCAAGCCTTGGTCACTACATAAACCTTTCAAGTTTGGATATAATCTTTTCTTAATTTTTTATTTATTTTTTTTTTTTTTTTAAAATTATTCATTTGAAACTTCTTATAATATTCAGATGTTTAAAGTTTAAGAATTTAAAAATAGCAAATCATTTCATAATTGACAGTGATAATAGTCATTTCCAGCTTGTCCATTTAAAAAAAATAATAATAATTTTGGGACATTTTCATACCCCCACTCCATTAGGAGATTTATAACTTTCTGGAACATAGTCAATGATAATTACTTAAAAAATGAAAAAAAACTTATACAATAAATGTGGTTCACACTGCACTAAACCTTATTCTCCTGCCTTTACTAACAAAACATTTTTGTGTGATTTATATACTTACCGAGTCTTTATAATAATACTGTCCGTGATATACAAAAAAGAAGTGGCTATAGGTACCCGAGTACCCACAGCCGCAAATGGTTATTCGGAGCCGGCTGGTCACGTGAGGTTGGTCACGTGACGTTTATAATGGATACTTCCTGTTGTTTTTCCATCTTTGTCGCCATTATTATCAATCGAGCAATGTGCCATATTTTTAAGATGTTTATGCAGCTTTAAAGAAACACGAAGAACAATGTGACACAGCTTAAAGCAAGTAAGAATATGTTTATAATTTTATTGTATTTTTAATTCTATTTTAAATATAGTTCTATAATCATTAACATGACATCAAATCAAGATCCAAGTTGCTTTTTTTTTTGGCGGCAAATCGGCTACTGTCTTATCTGTAATTACTGTAATTGTAATGAAAAGTTTGGCTGCGGCTATAGAGACCCGGTATCAGAAGTGGTTGCTTCAATTTTAATTCACCGAACAAATTATTATTATTCACACTTCCCATAAACAAATGTTCTTTTGAATAAAAAAAACAATTTGGAGAGATCAGCCGGCGGCCGCCATCTTGGTTATCGTGACCCTCGAACTGATGTCCTAAATCATGTATCCCTAAACCTAACCTGAACCCTAAATGTATCCCTGAACCTAACATGAACCCTAAAATGTATCCCTAAACCTGATCAATCTGAATTAGCCTGAAAAACTTCGAAGTGGATGCGTACACCGCGGCGGTGTACCTAGCGAAACCATCGGCTTTGGCCTGCGTAAACCGCGGCGGTGTACCTAGTGAAATCGTGGGCTTTGGCCTGGGTACACCGCGGCAAAAATGTACCATTGGCCTGGTTTTAAGATATACTTGTTTGAGAAGATCTTGTGTGGTAGAGTGGACGCTTGGCTATAATATAGTTTGAGATCAATTCTCAGTAGGGGATCGAGTTTTTTTCCCTCCCATTTTAGTTTTAAAATATTTTGTAGCAATTTAAATATATGTTTAAATGTTCTATAAAATACACTTTATATATGTATTTATTTTTATATTTAAGTGTTCAACAAGTTGTGCCGGCCTTTGACTTTGAAAATACCGGTAAATTTAGTAATAAGACTTTAGACATTTGAAAACAAACTTAAAGTTTCTGAAAGCGCATGTGTAGTGTATGTCAATGTAACATGTATAAGAGAAACGTTATGAATACTAAGTGACTGATATTCTATTGTATTTCAACATTCTTCGTGTAGTTGAATATTTACATTTTATTTTTACGAACACCCAAAGAAAATACCAGTATGAATGAATATTAAACCTTGAACCATTATGCCTTATGCATTGGCAAAATGTACATACGATATCAAAGGTTCATTCACAACACTCAGTCTCACAGCAAATCTTTTGAAAACACCTCGATTTTAGAAACTTGCGGAGCGTTAGCAAACTGTATAGCAAAGCCGTAGGTCTGCGTTTACCCTTTTCACGACGGAATTAGTTTCCAGAATGGCATGACATGTGCTATTCTCAGAGTAAAACACGACATTTTCTCACAGAAACCATTGCACAATGGGCTTGGGACAGGATTTGCGCTATTTCAAAGTTTTTGTATTTGTTGTTGATTTTTTTTATTGTTAAGAAATCGATCCTTGCCGGGGGGGTGGTGGTGAGTTATGGGCAGAGGCTTAACCAAAAAGGGGGCATTCACAAATCCCGGCTCAGGATAGGGGTTGTCCACAAAGAACGTCCGCACAACAAAGTTACCTTTTGCATCCCCCCCTCCGCCAGCATTTTTTACTAATGTGTAATGCCAATGTAAAACTAAATCAATGATATTTAATTATTGTTAAAAGTCTTTCAAAAATCACTGCAGTGTTTCGTATTTATCATCTTTCTGCTGTTTTGTGTTGACACATGCTTGGTATCACAATGATAATGCATCGGACAACTTTAACTTCACGACTTCATGATCAATGTATGAGTATGTGATTCTCTTCCCGTAGTGAATTTGTGGCGTAATTATATTTTGGTGCTAACAAAATAGATTCACTGTCTTCCCATTCATTTTTACACCACGCCCCGAGGGATCACATACAATGTTATATTTATAATGCCCCCCCCCAAAAAAAAACAAAACAACTACTGTGTCGGGAGCATGAGAGAATAATTTCAAATTAAGATTCACAATCATATGATAAAACTTACAATTAATAAATATATTTGTATTTCAATATATTGGGGGAGGGGAGAATAAAGTGGTACGCATGCCACA